GCCTTCTCCTCCATCCCCTTTCTCATTCTCATCTTGCCCATATGTATTCCTACATGTTTGGACTAAGTCTTGGAATCTGGTTTTGGTAACCTCAATCTTTGAAGCTGGAATGTGAACGTCTATGCTTAAATGTTGATCTTGATCTTGGTCATTTCAAATTGTCCACATGTGGAATGATAACATGTAGGACGAAAAAATAATTTCATCGTGCTGGTTTCAACTGTTAACATCTTGCCCAGGCCAGACTTCTCACCACCCATATGCTTCCAAATTCCCCCAAACACCCTCTCCCGGGTCTCCCCCCAAAAAGACGCACTAAAAGCATTACAAAAAAAAAAACATAGACTTTCTCATTTTAGTGTGCTCAATCGACCATGCTTGGACCAGGCCTAAAAACAATTGGAAAGTCAGCTTCTCCACCTGTATTGGAAACCCTAACAGACGGGTCAAGCTGCACAGGTTTCATAACTCAGGCATGAACAGACTGAAGCACCAGTATGCCTGGGCCTATTTTTGCAATGCTCGATTTCTCTCACCCCTGAACGATCGAACCGTTGGAGGGTCCGGGCCCTACTGGGCCCACCAGCTTTTTAGTCCAGTAGGCCGAACCTGACTGCGGCCCTGCAGACACTGGTACCGGGCAAGGGGAACGGGTGGCATTCTGGTAGTTTGAGAGAACAACAGGAAAGAATAGGCAAGTAATGGACACGGTAATCAGTCGCAATTTCTCACAAAGGATACATAGTAAATACTAAATAGCTGAGGCATAAGGATTAGGGAGAAAGCAGACAAGCTATGGGATGCAGCATGAATGGTGCAGTAGATTGCAGCTCTGACAATTCAAGGGCATACGGACCGATGGGACCAATGGGACAAATGGGACCAATAAAAAGAAGTGGACCACCCAAGTCTAACTTTGGAATTAATCTTCTGACAAGTTCAGAGTCTTCAGACATAATGCAGGCTGGAGGGAATGGAACAAAAGCCGGGAGTTTAAGCAGTCTTCTCCATCGTAGATCTTGGGAGCCGCAATTGCTTTCCTTTTGCAACTCATTGAGTGGCAACAGGAGGACCTACACAAAGGTAATCTGAACAGCATTCCAGCACAGGGTATTATTTGGGGATATATCATATATCCTTTTCACCACACTAGAAATGGTGGGCTCGCCTGTGTGCCTGTCTGCATCCAACCCTGGACACTGGATGTCCGGTGGACCGATACTTCATTATTTATAGAACTGTGATGCCCAGCCTCCCCATTAATTACTGTGTTGGGCTGTCACCCGGCCCGGCACGTCCGGGCCAGTTGGGCAGGGGGGGGGTCGCCCTGCAAAAAAAGGCAGGGATCCCCCCCCCAAAAAAAAAGACTTCAAGCCAGGACTGCGCTTGGCCTAAACAGTCAGAATCCGGTCTTAACTTCGGTTTTGGTGATGGGTCATCCAGGGGGGGTTGGGGGTATAAACAGTGACTAAAGGGCTTAAGTTAAAAGTTAAAAGGGTACAGTTGGACTCATGTTTTCTCATTTATTTTTATCTTGAGATTAACAAGCAATTTCGAGGTGGCCCTCAGCCAAAAGTCGTTTGTATTGCAATTTTACACAACATTTTTTTTTTTCGGATTTCTTTGACTTTTTTTTTAATTTTCTATTTTTAAAAATATTATGCGCTGGGATCGCCCGGGACCCTGCTCGGACCCTGCCCGGTCCAGGCCGCCCGGGAGGGTACCCGGGCGACCTTCCCCCAGCCGGGCTGCCCGGGGACTAACACAGATTAATTATCCAATGTCCATTCACCGCTATACTGAGGCCCTAGGCAACAACCAAACAAGGGCAACCGTGAAATGAACAAACCCTGTAGGTGGTCTAGGAGGCTAAGTGGGCCATCCGAGTCTTGGGGGAATCTTCCAAAGTGGATTCCGACCTCTACAACAACCTGGGCGTGTTTTTTTTTTTTTTTTTTTTTTTTGTAAGACTAAACCCTGCCCCATGAAAAGCCTATCCTTCTTCGCCCAAACATGATGCCCCATCATCGTGCACGTATACAAAATTAGCATACTTGCAAGCAGACGGACCGGACGAGCGTCTGGTCCAGTCCGCTTTGCCGCGTGCGGCACCCTCCCCCCGGACCAGACGGACCCGGACCGAGACCGGACAGGGCCTTTTTTTTTTTTTTTTTTTTTGGGGTGGGGSGTAACTGGTCGTCGGGCGCACATTCGTGCGCCGCGCGGGTCCGGTCCGGCGGTCTGCCGCACGTGCGGAACCGCCCGGACGGTGTCCGCTTGCAAGTATGAAAATTAGTAAATTACAGTTCCTGTTCTGGTCCAAATGCAGTCGTGACGCTGGAGCATTAAATTCGGGGGAAAACGGTACTATGATCTATCTACAGCAATTTCACTTTTTGTCCACAGAATGATTATCAAACAGGAAGGGATTACCTGGACTACCCACCTCCCCCGGCATCCTCACAGCACCCCTTTCTCTTCTTCTCTTCGTTTTCCTCCCCTTCACAAACTCTCGTTTTTTAAACTTTTTTTCCATAGTTCACAACCAGTTCTGGACTCCACACTTGTCAATCAATTGCAGGAAGTGAAAATAGGTACGCATTATACTATCTAGTATCTACTGCTCAGCATGGTTGCAATGTGCCTTCTTTCATGATCATCAGGTGGTAAGTTTGGATCATCTAAACTGCGATTACTGTTGCAGCCGAACTTGCAGGGAAAACTCCCTAGGACTTCTTCTGAAGAAAAACAAATTGTGCCTGGGTTGTCCAGCTGTCTAAATGACTAAAACCACCTTTCCCAAATTCCCAGGCAACAACAAGAATCGAAAAACGTAACATTCCGGATTTTTTTTCGGAGGCTCGGCCCTACCGGAGAACCCTGATGGCTGGCAGCGCCAGTCACAAACACACACACACCAAAAAAAAAAAAAAAAAACGACGTGCTGGCYGGCGCTTCGGCAAAGCTTGGTGCACAGGGGAAATAATCCCCCTCGACAAAAAGAGGCTCGGAGGTAGTGGTGATTTAAGGAGGCTGGAATCGCCTCTGGGGTGCCACCATGGAGGAGAGGGCGGGGGGAGCAACATTCAACAAAAGGATTGGTAACAAGAAATCAGGTGGAAAAGTTAGAAAACATGATTGGCGATATATGCTGAATGCAGTGAATGGAAAGGAAAGGAAACTCACCAGAAGTCGACAGTCCACAGGGTCTGGCAGACAGTCATGTCAGGCCTGTTTGAAGTACTTAGCTCGGCCAATCTATGCCACTCAACTTCCTCATTTGTGTAACGAGAGGCCGGCTTCAAAGAGTCCATAGTGGGCATGGCTAACAGCTGTACAGAGTCTTCATTATTTGGATACGCATCATCGGCATCATTCTCCCCCATGATTTGAGAGGAGGACTTTCGCTTGATTGTTAGGGAGGTTGCACGATTAGAGCCTGCGAAGAGAGTCCCCGTTACTCTCAGCACAAGTCCTTTTGAGAACTGCATTCCACAGCATTGCATTCAAAACACATGGTCATTTGTTTTCCGATGTTCCTTTTTCATTTTGATATGAAAACATGGGCATTTGATGTCATTCGTGTGCTTGTCGGATCTCGACGTCAAACTGTGGAAGATGCTGAAATAGAGCTATAGAACATCCATATGTGAACACAGCTCAAATGCACCATGAGGAACAGCTCAAATGCAGCACAAGAACACACACGCATGCACACACACACACACACACACACACACACACACACACACACACACAC